TGGGTCACATGAAATTTAAGCTATTAAACACCAATCTTTTTTTTTTAAATTAGTAAATTTAAATTATGTAAAACATTGATAAAGATCTAAAATGGGGAAAAATGTGGGTGCCTCATCTCTAATGATTTGTAAAACAATTTCAAAGTGGTTTTGAATCAATAGGACACGTCTTGGAAGCTATTGCAAAAACATACTAAATTTTGACAAATAAAATTGCTAAAAATAAAAAAAAGTTTTAAAATATGAAACAAATGACTGTGCCTCATCTATCTATACAGGATACTAGAACAATTACACACTGGTTCTGGGTCAATAGGTCACAAGACCTGGAAGCTATTGAATAAAAATACTAAATATTGACAAAACAAATTGCTAAAAAATAAAAAATATGTTAAAATGGAAAACAAATGTGCCTCATCTAAAGAGACTAATATAATTATTTCAGTTATTCTGAGTCATTAGGTCACATGACCTGGAAGCTGTTGAAGAAAAACCCCCAATTTTGACGAAAAAAATTAATAAAAAATGGAAAATGGCTAAAAATGAAAATCAAATGTCTCTGCCTCATCTAAAGAGACTAGTATAATTATTTCAAAGTGATTTTGAGTCATTAGGTCACATGACCTGGAAGCTATTGAAGAAAACATTATATTATTTAATATTAAAATTATTGAAAATATTGAATTTAAAATTTTATAGATGCTATTTTGGCTCATGTAAAAGCCTGAATTAGCACTGACAATTAGTTAGTTGGTTACAATTCAAGGCATTTATTAACATTTCTTTGACAGGAATGTTTGGTTCGGTAATTTGTTGACAGTCCCTAAGTGAACCTTCGGGCGCTGCGGCTGGGAGCGGTGGAGAACCGCTGGCCGACAGTAGCGTTCATAAATCGGATCAACCTTGAGCTAAACGCCGCTTACTCCCCGGAGCTCGAATATCGAATATCCAACTTGAAACTAACTTCACTGCGGTCATTAGCGGTAGCATCTCCCGGAAAATTACGACTTTACTAAGACTGCCTGTCTCGGTCTCACCTAAGACAGCATACAAACAAAACCCGGAAAGTCGCCATCCATCAGTTATCTTAAAAGATTCTAGACTTGGCGCAAGTGGTATTTCTTTTTGAAATAAAACACGGGAAAATTGGGTGTGGGACATCCAAGAGAAGGAGGGGACGGGAGGGAGTGGGGGTGTCCAGGAGGTAGCAAGAACTAATATGCCAGCATTACATGGTGTAAGATTAACAACGGCCCAAACCCGTGTTTTAAATCAAGTTTTAAGATAATGTATCAAACCTCATGCGCAAAATAAAATATACTACAGAAATATGAAAGCATAGACTCACCGTTGGGTTTGCGTTCGCCTCCATGGTCGCCAGCCTCGGTGATCTTCTTCTTCTTCTTCTTTTCATTAATGGCGGATTGCAAGTAACTTTTATGTGCATACCGCCACCTACTGTACACGAGTGTGTAGCAACATTTCCTCTACCTTTATTAAATTCTATTTATTAATCTTGTGTTTTGAAGAAAAGTAAATAATGCTTTCCTTACTCTATGAATCTCCATTATGTTTCCTTCATTTCCTAATATTCCTGTAAGATTCCATTCTTTTCCTGTCCTTCCAACAATTCTTTTCAGATTCTCTCTTTCAGATTCATATGTTCTACAGTTCATTAATATATGTTCTACATTTTCTTTCTCTCCACATCCTTCACATTTATCATTACTTTTCTTCCTTATTAAATATAAAGTGTCATTTAGATAGGTGTGTCCTACTCTTAATCTGGTCATAATTATTTCTTCCCTTCTGTTTCTCTCATCAATATTTCTAACTAGTACTGACTTTTGCACTTTATATA